AGGTCAGAATAGGGCATAGACAAGACTGAAGAGGGCTGGAACAAGGCTCGAACAAGGGTGGGGCAGGAACAGGGTCAGGATCTAGGGCGGGCTATAAGCACAGGGTTCTGTAAAACCCCGAGGCAGCAGGAGGGTTCGTAGCCGAGTAATGCTGCTGTTGCACAGACTAACTTGTGGCTCTGGCGGTGAGAGTGAAATACATGTGCCCGGGGTTATCTGATCCAGGCCCTGCCCCAGGATAGACTGCTGCAGCACACCTGAGAGATGAGACACTGCAGGTTCTGCTGGAGGGGTGAGTCATTGTAGTACTGAGCATCTGGGGTGGGGAATGGGTGGGCAGAAGCCTGCCCACATCTAAACGACCCCCCAGCCAAAGGGGAGGAGCTACTGGACCCAGAGCTCAAATAATTCCAGGGACAACATATGTCCCCCGGGACGGGAGTCAGGATCACAGAGTCAAAAGCAGGGATCCAGAGGGGCACACTGAGCAGAGACCCCTGAACACCGTCCACTGCTCCTCAAGGCGTCCAGGGAGCCAGTGGACGTGGCCCAGAGGAACTCTGCCCAGAGACGTGACCTAAGGGAGGATCAGAAATAGGCCCCACAGTCACAGAACACCTCCCTGTCCAGCTTCCTCCTCCTGGTATGGGGGACAGCTGCCTTGACCAGCAGCAAGAGAAGGTTGATGAGGTCTGGTGACTTCGTGGGGCCATAGATGGGGTTTCAGAAGTGCCGCCAGAACCTGAGGAGGAGATTCTGGAGGAGCTGGAAAAGGGGCTGCAACTTGGCACACTCGAGGTAGATATGCGCCAGGGTCTCCCTCTTGCCGCAGAAGTGTCAGGTGTTGGATAGCAGGGTGAACTGCACCAGGTACACATCTGTGCTCCTGGCTCCTTGAATGAGCTAGATGAGTCATTCTAGCTAAGTGAGCAGCCCTGGTCTGGCTGTGGGTTTGCCTCACAGCAACAAAATGATAAAAGGTTTAGAAAACATGGCCTCTGAGGACAAGTTCAAGAAACCAGGCATGTTTGTTCCTGAGAAAAACACCCTGAGAGGGGGACCTGCTGACAGTCTTCAAATATGTGAAGGTCTGTTCTAAAGAGAATGGTGATCAATCGCTCTCCATGTCCACTGAAGGTAGGACAAGCAGTAACAGCTTAGTCTGCAGCCAGGGAGATTTAAGTTAAGTATTATGAAACTCTTTCTAACTCTCAGGGGAGTTCAGCTCTGGGACAGGCTTCTGAGGGAGGTCGTGGAATCCCCGTCATAGGAGGTGCTTAAGAACCGGCTGGACAAACCCCTGTCAGGGATGGTCCAGGTTTACTTGGTCCTGCCACAGTGCAGGGGGCTGGGCTCGATGACCTCTTGAGGTCCCTTCCAGCCCAACATTTTCTATGATTCTTCTTTCCCTTTCAGCTGCAACATTATCTTCCTTTAAAACTACGTACCCTAAACACGTCTAATGCAAGTAACCTGATAAATAAACCAAACCCCATTTCTGCACACCTTGGTGTGCGGACTACACTGCTCCTTCTCACTTGTATTCCCTTTGGAAGCATGAGACTGAACCTATCTGGAAGCCTGGAAGAGTTTGGGGTGCACATGAGTGTGGGATCAGGCCCTGGCTAGGCAATATTCCTGTGTGTGAGGGCAGAATTTTACCCACGCTGCTTTAGTAGTAGGGGAATGGCAGGTGTAGGCTTCCTCCACTCACTTCAGAGCTTTAAGGGGAGCCAGTATTAGCAGCTCTATTTCACTTCACAGGATGTCGTCCTGCAAAACAGACATCTCTGGCTGCTGATTAAGAAATGCTTTCGATTCCGGTCTCCCAGCCAGTATCGGAAGTGGCAGAGGAAGCTGGAGAAGGATCCAAAGTGGCCTCCTTTGAAGAGAAAAGACTTTGCAGAAAACAGCAAGAATGAAATCTACATCAACCCAATCTATGAACACGACAAAGAGAACTAGAAGCCAAAGATGACAACTTTTCCTTGTTTATATTGAACCTAGAATATTTTCAGTTTCATTGGTAAAAGATTCAGGGGGGTTTGTGTAAACACACGAACCCAAAGTCATTGGAGAGATGCAGGCAGTGTCTCTTACAGCTGTACCCTTGACAGGAATTATTTTATGGCGAATTACCATTTTCTATGAAGCTTTATTGACTGTTTGAGCACTTTTTCTGTCCAATTACAAATATGCTGAAGAAGATTAGAGTTTTGCAAACTCCCTGTAAAACAATGAGCATCTGATTCTCCGCTGTTGCTGCCAGGCTAGTCAATGTACTCTACTAAGACTCTTGTGTAAGCTGCCAAACTACAATTACAAAAAAAATACAGTTGATTTTTCCTGGGGTTTTGCTTTCGAAGTTCTTTGGGAGAATTTCAAGCTGCAGTTTTCGGGGTCATGTTTCTTTGATCCCTGCATAGCACTTCATGAATTTGGGTGGTGTATTGGGACTGCATGACTTTTCTGGGCATGGGGAAAGATGTGTAAATTTGTAAATTTGCAAAATCCAGCCCGATATGGAAACCTAAAGACCAAATGGCAAAGATGTGTTGTTCAGAGAGAAAATTTCTTCCCTACCTGAAGGAGCTAAAGATGCGACAGGTGACGTACGTAATCCCCACAAAGCCTGATGTTATCCCCACCCAGACCCCCACATCATCCCCATCCAGAGCTGCATCCTCCAGTTCTTGCACAGGTACTGGCTGCAGAAATGGGACCAATGAGGAGTAGCCTACTGTAATGCAGCGGATGAAGGCCTAAAACACTGAAAATTTTCCTCTAGGGGCTGGGCTGGGGGTGGGCATAGTCACGCACAGTTATATTTATACTAAGGAGAATGAGACACATTCTCCATTCACATCCCTCACAACTTTTCAACAGTGCAACCCCAGTGACTTCAGTGTGGAGTGGGGTAAATTTGATTTATAAGGCTTAGGCCTGGCTAGGGAAGATCAAGTTTTAGTCATCTCTCAATCTAACCGCAAAAACCTATCCATTGTAATGGGAATTTGCAGGCAGAACCAGAGAGAAAACACCTGTTACTTCGCTGCCCAGAGTCTGATTTTCCCTGGCTCAGACTCATATGGCTGAACCATGTATACATACTGCACCAAATTCAGCCCTCATGTAACAATCATGTCTCTCCACTGAGTTCAAGGGATTAAATGAAGGGAATTAGTGCAAAGTCTGGTCCTCTTTGTTTTCACACCCACCTTGCTGATGGTGAAAGTTGAAACAGTGCAGTTCAGGGCTCAGATATCATCCATGCATGAGAGGCTGAGCGCCTACAGACCTTGGTTAAATGCAGCTCCTTTACTCGGAAAGTGTTTACCCGTCCAATAACATCTGCCGAGAAATGGCCCTTGGCTACACAACACACGCTCAGATTTATTTTCAGATTTATTATAATAGGAAGTAGGTGTTTGTTTGTTTTTTGCTGTATTTAATATCCAGTTTAGTTTAAGAAGAAAGGGAAACACTAGACAATAGTGCACTACAATATACACCCAGACGTCAGACTCAGTCCCCCAGACACGGAAACAAGCGTCAATAAAAAAGCTCTGATTCAAGTAGGGACGTGTTCAACAGCAGACAACTCTGCAGTAAGTACCCTGAGCCGGACCTGGGGTTGGCCTGCACACGACTGCAGTCCATGGAGTGGCACAGCGTGACAGCCAGCATTGGAGTTAGTATCTTGTTTTCAGGCTTCAAAGAACAGTTCCAAACCAATGGGCCAGTTACACCAGCTGCTAGCCAGTGAGAACGCTGCTAAATCACTCAAGCACAAAACCAGAGTCATTACAAAAAACCCAGGTGTCACCCACATGGGACTGGAAGGTGAACCGATGCTAACAGAATCTGCAATACACGCAACTTGCTTTCTTTGGCACATTCCCCACACCACTTCAGGAATGCTGTATCTACCCTCCAACCAGCAGAAGGAAACGCCCAAGAACTGAATTTAAACACGGGCTCAAGCTCAGTTTCTGGCTGAGGCTCTGGGGGGTGAACAGCTCCAGACCAAGGACTGGTTTTGCAGGATTTAGAGTTATTTTCCCCATCGTGGCTCACGGCAGGTCCAAGCCCCAGGGGTCACTAAGGAACCCGGAGAGGTAGGGTTCAATGCTAGCAGGTACCCACTATAGCAGCCCGTCTGAGCACGGGCAGTCTAGAAAAATAGTGGGGGCTGGGCAGGAGCGCAGAGTAGCCAGAAAATGCTGCGGTCGCGTTCTTGGTTCTGCCCCCACTTGGTGGTCTGAGAGTGAGCTAGACCGGTCCAGAGGAACAGCATGCAGGAATCATTTCACAGGTGGGAAACAGGTCTGTTTCTTAAAGCAAAAGAGCATCTCATCCAAGACAAAACACTCATTTAAAAATAAAAAGGGACCCTTCTCTCCCTCTTCAAGAGAAGGGACCTGCTCCTGCATCCCATCTCCTGTGGCCTGGAGAGCAGCTGTGGGTTCCAGCATCGCAAGTGCAGCATACGCCCTGGTGCACAGTGACACACCACACAGCACACACCACCAATCTAAGCAGTTGAGATTTTCCACTTGTAAAACCCACCGGTCGTGGGATGGGGAAAAGGCCCCTCAGAATATTTGTAAGTTTCATTAATATTCTTTTTAAAAACACATAAAAACATTTCTCCAAACAGGTAAAAAAAATATAAATTATTCACTGAAAAAACCCAGCAAGTCAAGTCTATAAAAACACTGTCAGCAGCAATTGTGTATAAAGCTCTTTTGTTGGCTCACGGGCCCAGTCACCAGCAAAACAGCACCAATGAGGATGAAGAATTTGCCAGGGAGTCAACTGAGGCTAGCAAGAAAATCATCATCTGCAATTGAATACAAGTTGCTATGACAAAAAGTACAGCTAGTGACCTTGGCAACGAGCGTCTATTGTAGCTTTATCCGTGGACTGAGCTGGTTCCATTCCAATCTGGAATCCAACCATCACATGCTGTCAGTTTACCATGGTATGTGGTTAATAATGCTGCTCCCTGGATTTGTTCTGGAAAAAGCCCAACAATGAGACGGCACCCGCAGCAGCTGTTACAAACCCAATGGCACTGATTGCTCTGTTAGCCTGCAAAGGAAACACAAAACTGCCTGACGACATCACGAACGTTGGGTTTTTCACACTTGAACAATCTCTCGTGATGAACACAGTGGATACAAGAGATGCATGCACGAGACAGAGCAGAGCCGGCCGAATGCTGATCTCACAGTACACTGGCTTCCTGCCTGTGGAATTCAGGGACTTCCAAGTAACTACTGATTTATGCAAGCGTGAGATCAGAATCAGGCCCAGGACTCATGCCAGGAGGTCACTCACCTTTGAGCAAAGCAATGTCTGCTCTGCACTCAGTCCACAGACAGTACATGGGGTCAAACACTGCTCTCAGTTATGCCACTGTGAATCTGGAGTGAATTCCATTGACTTCCTGGTTATCAGAATCTGGTCCTCAGCTTCTCGTCCTGGGCCTGATCCAAAGCCCACTGAAGTCAGTGGGGGTCGTGGTCAGGCGGCATATCGCTCGCCCTTGTGGCCAGAGGCAGGACGGGTTTAAGAAGCACATTTTTAGTTGAGTGTGCAGGGGTTTCTCTGCACAGCACGAGAGCAGTGTCCCCAATGCAAAGCCAGTAGAGGCCACGGGGTTTAAATCTCCCCCAACAAAACACACCCAGAATTCACCACAACAGGTTTAAATTGCTGGGACTTCCATATACCAGGTTTGTTCTTGACAAAACCTGCAGTTAACAAAACTCGCCCAAGTCCACGCGGGTTTCTCTGCATCAGGGAGAAAGGACCAAATTCTGCGTGAGCTCCACACTGAGAAAACGTCCCCCCTCGCTTTGGGAACTTGTGGAAGCCACCCCCGCAGCCCCCTGGACAAGGTGGATGGACAAGGGCATGCTGCTGGACAAGGGCATGCTGGGATCACAGCTGGAGAGCAGCTGCTACCCCTGGGATAATGCAGCTTTGAGCAGAGAGGAGCCTCACTCGCTGCAAACAGGGGGGGTTCAGCCAGAGGAAGTGGGACTCCTTAGCAAGCTGTGCGGCTGGGCAAGTCCTGCAATCAAGGCAGAGCAGCCGGCCAAGCCAGGCAAGGCTCAGCAGCTCGGAGTTTGCAGCATGCCCTGCGTCCCACCCCACCAGCCCTTCCCCTCGGAGGGAGGACCTTGCTGCAAACTGAGGAGAAAAGCCCTAGGTGATGGCCTCTTTGCACAGAGCTTGCTGCAGGGCTGGTCAAGCTGGTGCCGTGTGGACACGGTGCAGATCCTGCGGGACACTCGGGAGGAGAGGGGAGTAGCGCGCCCCGTGCAGGAGACAGCAGCCTGTCTGCCCCATACTCAACGCAGCTGCATGCCCACGGCACCCCTACCTGCTCGGAGACCCCCTCCCCATAGCGCAGCAGCGTCACAAAGTGCTCGCAGTTGTTGCCGAGGAGGTCGTAGGACACCTCCTGGCCGATGAGGAACTCCGAGCGCCGGATGATCTCCTCCACGGGCAGCGGGGTGTAGGCGTCGTCGTACTTGTTGTTGATTCTGTACGTGTCGCTCCCCACCACGTCCTTCAGGAGCTGCATCTTCACCAGGGCCTTCCTACTGAACACAGACTTGGCACTCGCCAGCGACGACGCGGCCCCTTCCTCTGGGAAAGGCAGAGACAAGGCTGAGCCGGCTGGCAGGAGTGCAGGACAGCCACAGCACCAGCCGTCCCGCTGGCCACGCTCGGCTCACTCAGGGGTACTTCCCCTGGGGCCAAGGGGGGGAACCCAGAGCCTGCCCTGGGGTGGCTGCCTTGCGGGGCGGGGGGAAATGAGACCAGAATCTGGCCCCTCGCGACCAACTGGTAGTCAGTCCTTCCGAGTCGAACGATAATGACAGAAAGGGGCTGCCCCTAGGGGGAAGGGGTGGGAGAAGGGGCCATCCTCCTCTCGACCCTCATGCACTGTGGAGGGCAGTCCTAGTCTTCCTCTCACCTGAGCACAAGGACTGCATGAGCCACCCAGAGAAAGGGACACAGGCAGGGCTTGATTTGTGCCAGGGCTGAGCCCCGGCACCTCTGGGCCTGGCAGTTCAGAGCCCTGGCACCTCCGGGCTTACCACATCAGTTATGGATAAGGCTGCGATTTAGTCACAGGTATTTTTAGTAGAAGTCATGGACGGGTCACGGGCAATAAACAAAAATTCACGGCCCATGACCTGTCCACGACTTGTACTATAAACACCCCTGACTAAATCCTAGGTGCTCTGGGGGGTGGGGGAGCGGCACGGGTCGGGGGGCTGCCCCAGGCCCCATTGCTGCTGCTCCGGGGCAGGGCCGGACTAGGGTTATGAGGAGTCTACGGCTAATGGGAGGGAAGGGCCTAAGTATGAATTACGTATTGCAAAAACAAGTATGAAGTCATCAAACATTTATCTACGTACATATTTACATACTATTTATTTACGACAAATTAACAAGTTTATTCTACTCTCACTACACTCAATTCTTCAAACAAACAATTTTTCCCCCTAGCTTTAGCTGTGGCAAAGTCACGAATGATGTCATCGTAATCCAAAGACCTGACGATTTCATTCTCAGTGCTCAAGAGGGACAAAACACTGAGAGCTCTCGAGTCATGGTGGATCGAGGACATTTCTGACCCTTGTGAGAAGAGATGGAACAATCTCCACTACAGCTAGTGATCATTAGTGACAAATACAGCCGTAAGGCAGTTTCAACATTCGGGAACCATTCGATCACATTGGGCTCAGTGATAACTCGGTACATCCAAATAGATTTGCTTTCGTCATCTTTTCTCTCTCTCTCTGAGAGTGATGTGTGTTAGGATATAGATATTCAGGCCTGTCTGTAAAGGCCTATACTCTAAGAATTTAGGTGTATTCTTATCACTTGGCTAGTGATAGAGGTATAAAAGAAAGAATCAAAACCACTGTCTGCCAGTGTAAGGGCCTTCTCTTACTGTGACAGTTTGTGGCCCTGTGCTTAGGCTCAGGCCTTTGGCTAAGCAGCAGAGGCAGCCATAAACTGGGAAGCGAACGGTCACATCCTCACATTCCAAACTAGTCACATTGAAATAAGGTGCTATTGGGCTGTTAGGCACTATCAGGCCAGAGAAAGGGAAGTGCCTAGAAAATGTAAAAGGAAACTTAGTTTGATAGCATCCTGTCTGGCAAGAACTCACTTATCAATAGCTGGGATGTGAAATCCTCACTTCTGTATTGTTTTGTCATTATAGTTCCCACTTTGCTGTTGTTTGTCTGTATAATCTCTGTCTGGTTCTGTGATTGTTCCTGTCTGCTGTATAATTAATTTTGCTGGGTGTAAACTAATTGAGGTGGTGGGATATAATTGGTTACATAATCATGTTACAATATGTTAGGATTGGTTAGTTAAATTTCAGGAAAATGATTGGTTAAGGTATAGCTAAGCAGAACTCAAGTTTTACTATCCGATGAAGTGAGCTGTAGCTCACGAAAGCTCATGCTCAAATAAATTGGTTAGTCTCTAAGGTGCCACAAGTACTCCTTTTCTTTTTGCGAATACAGACTAACACGGCTGTTACTCTGAAAACTATATAATCTGTAGTCAATGAGGAAGTGACTGGGGGTGGGCATGTGGGTGTGTGAGATGGGAACAGGGAATGGGGGTAAGAAAATTGGAATCATGTTTTGCTAAAGGGGGAGATGGGAACAGGGAATGGGGGTAAGAAAATTGGAATCATGTTTTGCTAAAGGGGGAAATGGGAACAGGGAATGGGAGTAAGGAAGTTGGAATCATGTTTGGCTAAGGGTAGGAATGGGAACAGGGACACAGGCGTAAGGCTCTGTGGTGTCAGAGCTGGGAAGGAGGATACTAAGGAAGGAAACTGGAATCATGCTTGCTGGAAGTTCACCCCAATAAACATCGAATTGTTTGCACCTTTGGACTTCGGGTATTGTTGCTCTCTGTTCATGCGAGAAGGACCAGGGAAGTAAGTGGGTGAAGGAATAAGCCCCCTAACAATGTGATGTGAATTCAACAAACTGGAGAAACTCTTTAGTAAAATCTACTGCGACATTGTCTGGGAACTTCTGACACAGACGTTTGATACCTTCACTGACTTCAGAACTTGAAATGTTAGGCGAAAAATGTGTCCGTACACTAAAGGTTTTGTCAATATTTTCATATGCCTCGGTCCAATATTCTAATGAACTCTTCAGTTTGTTGATGATTGTGATGAAGGTATTAACTCTGGAGGCCTCCTTGTCACTGAATGAGTGGGCAGTTACATTGTCACATGTCTTCTGTCTTTTCCGGCGTTTGGCTGACTCCTGAATTTCATACTCATCAAAACTATCCCGCAATTGTTGAAGAACAGTTCCAAGACTCCTCATTAGATTTACAGCAATGGAAAAGTCAATCTGAGCACTTTGCAAGCTTAGACTGCACCTGCTGAATGGCTGAAGTGTATCATTCCAGACCTCACACAAAATACCAGTTTCCAAAGTGTGCATTGCATCACTCAGGATCTTCGCATCTTTTCTTGTTGCTGATTTTTGAGATTCATCATCCCTGATGCTCTTTAGTGCTTCAAGGATGTTGGGGTATCCCAGAACAGCTGCAGGCACAGCTTCAGTGCTGGCATTCCACCACGTCCCTGAGAATGATTTGGGCACTGAGCATCCCTTTGGTAGCGAATCTCTAAGAATTGTCCAATGACTGGTTGATGCAGAGAAAAAACTGTAAAATTCTTGGACAAATCCAAAAAACGAAACTGCTTCAATACAACAATCCATGGCAGACTGGCCAGCAAGGGTGAGCGAGTGGGCAGCACCTGGCATGTAACCAACCAAAGCATTGCGCTCTTTTAGCTTTGCCTGCCTCCCTGAATATTTGCCACTCATACTGCTTGTATTGTCATAGCTTTGGTCACGACAAAGGCTGATGTCAATCCCATTTTCGGTGAGGAAATCGAATAGGTACGAGGCAAGTTTCTCCCCTGTGTGGCTGATGATGTTTATGAAGGTCTCGAAATGCTCAGCTGCTCCACTAGGTAGCACATAATGCAAGATGACAGTCAGCTGATACACATGAGACACATCCATCTGTTGAGTCATGTGATGTTTTACTCCATATTCTTTATGAAAATATGCTTATGATATGAATATGACATAACTGAGATGTACTTTATGCAAGATGGGTCTTGTAAGATCATTGGAAAGATTATAATTTACTGAATGTGATTATCCAATTTGTATGCCTGTATCATTTCTATATCTGAAGTTAGGAATATTGACTATTATCTGTATTTCAACTATGCTACTTTGGGTGACGCCCACTGCTAACATCTCAGGTACAACAGTAGAAAAGCCAGACAGGGTGGATGACCCATCAGCAAGGACAACGGGCTGTGAAAAGCTTGGCCTTCCTGTGAACGCTCCATACTGCCATTGACTCATGGACACTGCGATACTACAGGGTCAGGTGGTCTTGTCACCTGATACTAAAACATTACCTGGGACTTCTTGTAACTTCCCACTGGAAGGGAAGGGGAGTCAAGTTTGGGAAACAAAGGATTTCCGCCTTATGTAAATCCAATTTAAGGGTGGGGAGGAAGGCAAACAGGACTCCTCCTCTCCATGGCCTGTCTGCCCAAGAAGAAAGACTGCAAAAGCCACCTGAAGGGAAGGCACGGGAGAGTCCAGACTGAGATAGGGTCCAGTCTGAAAAAGAATATAACTGGAACTCTGAACCACAGAAACTTTGCAACCTGCCTAAAATAACATTTAGGGTGAGAATGTACATTTTGTAACCTGTTTCTTAAGTATATTGAGCTTGGCTTGCATATTTTGCTTTATTTGATCAGTAATCTGCTTTGTTCTGTCCGTCATCTCTTATATTCACTTAAAATTAACCTTTTGCAGTTAATAAAATTTGTTTTGTTTTATTAATATAACCCCGTTTATGTAATTTCTAACTGGGGGGGAAAGAAGTTGTGTGTATCTCCCTCCACATTGAGGGAGGGGGTGAATTTCATAAAACCTTTGGGTTTGTACCCCTTAAAGGAAGTGGGCACCAGAGTGTTGGGGCAAGCCCCTAAGGCTGAATCATTCCAGAGCGGATCCCTGTCTCTCTGTGCAGCTGGGTGTGGCCCTGCCTGTGTGCTTGGCAGGAAGAGGCCTGTGAGCCGAGCCCAGCAAGGCCGGGTAAAGGGGACCCAGGCCGGCAGAAGAGGCTGACTCAGTGGCATCCCAGCACATCCGGTGACACCACAAAGGGCTCAAACCTGTCATATGTCGATGGACATTGAAAAAAAATCCCACACAGAATCATAGAATATCAGGGTTGGAAGGGACCTCGGAGGTCATCTAGTCCAGCCCCCTGCACATGTGCAGAATTCATGTCGCCCACAGATTTCTTTGCTTCCCTGTCAGAAGTCAGATGATTTAGTTGGGGATTAGGTCCTGCTTTGAGCAGGGGGTTGGACTAGATGACCTCCTGAGGTCCCTTCCAACCCTGATATTCAATGATTCTATTCTATGATTCTATGAAGGTCTCTCAGGTCCAGGGTGAAATTGAGAGCGACCCCAAGCAGGACCAATCCCCAGTTTTTGCCCCAGATCCCTAAATGGCCCCCTCAAGGACTGAACTCACAACCCCGGGTTTAGCAGGCCAATGCTCAAACCCCTGAGCTATCCCTCCCCCCCACCAAACTTTGATCTCATCTACAATGGCTGAGAGCGTTGTCTTTCCCAGCAGTGCAATGAATTAATCACAAATAGTCTTTGATAGATATGATGTACGGCCTTTTCCACAATCTGCATGTTCATTGATGTGCTGAGCTAAGAAAGGGTGGAACTTAGCGATTAGCTCTAGAACACCAAGGTAATTGCCATTGTGTTTCGATCCAACAGTCCCATCTGAGCCTCAGAATGGCAGACCACGTTCAGCAAGAAAAACTATGGTTTCAACTACGTGTCTGAGAACGTTCTTCCAAAAACTGGTTTTCCATTTGGGTATCAATTCTGCCACTAACTTTCTTTGGGGTATGGTAGCTGCTAATGGTCAATGTATGCTGCTCACTCATTGCATGACTGGTAACGTATGCAGTGTTCTTCCAATCCCTGAAGCCTTCGCAGAACGTTCCCCACTTTTTGGTATCAGAAAACAGGTGGCAATAAAAACACTTCACTTTCTTCTGAGAAGGCAAATAGATGAGCCATTCTCGCTTGCCAGTCTGTTTGTTAGGCTTCCCATAGTCAAACATTGGTTTGGTCAGATAATGATTCTGATTGGTGTAGTCTCGCGTTGTCAATGAAAAGTCAGCAGCTAGAATGTGGCATTTCTGTGGGCCCGTCTCAGTCCAGTGTGCCATGAGCTCTTGAGAAGTGGTGTCCCACTTGCCTGGATCGCTGGAGAAGGATGTGTTTGTATTACCATCACTGGGAAAGTCTTCGTGGCGGGGGGGAGGGGGGGGGGGGAATGAGACTTCAGCCAGAGAAGTCACAGAAGTCAAGCTGCTCCTTTTCATCAGGGGCAGGCCTGGCAGGTTCACTTGGGCTGGTATTCGCCTGGACTTCCCCGCCACCAGACTTAGTAGGAGGAAAAAACATTAGGAGAGAAGGAGTTCCTTCCAGCACTGCGTCTTGTCTCTGCCGTCTTTCTTCGGCCTCCTTCCATTTCTGCCGTCCTCCTTTCCTCCGCATGGTTTCTGTTGGCCAGTGTAGGCCTACTGTGTACAAAGTTCAGTCTGGCTTGGGCCCACAAACACTTCCTTAGCCCACAAAGACAAAATCACAACCACCATCCATTGAATTCACAATCTGGATGGATTCATTTGTACAAAGCAATATCTAAAGAGACAAAAAATATCTGAGGGCCCCGCTACTAGATGTTACTTCAATATGGAAAGGAGGGCTACAGTAGGGCCTAAAAATAGAGGGCCTAAGGCTACAGCCTTATTAGCCTCTGGGTTAATCCGGCCCTGCTTGGGGGTGGGGGGTGACCCAGGGCCCTACCGCTGCTCTGGAGTGGCCCGAGTGTGGACAGGGAACCACTCCAGAGCAGTGTCCGGGACCAGCTGCCTGTGGCCGCCCAAGCATCGGGAGGTGCAGCTGGCCCCGGGGCCGCCACACCGGCTGCTGCAGAAATCACAGAGGTTCCAGACAGTCCCAGAATCTGTGACCTCCGTGAAAGACTCGCAGCCCTTAGTTCTGAATAAAAAAATGGCTTGAGCCCCGGTACCTCTTGCATTACAAATTAAGCCCTGGACACGTGGTCCCTTGGCACCAGCCAGCGGCTCTGGAGAGACCCTCTCAAGGGGGACTGGGAGCCTGGCCATGCCCCGGCTGCTGAGAGCATGCTGAGGCACAGCGCCTCCCGCAGGGCAGCTCTGCTCTACCCCCACCATGGGACAGCGCCTGTAGGGCAGTGAGTCCCACTCCCACCGTCCAGACCCCGCTGAGCCAGGTAACTGAGCAGCCACACCCCGTTCACAGCCTGGGGCACAGCCATTCACCCAGCATCGCAGGGCCCCATTGTGAATGTCACCGGAGTCCCCACGCCCCAGGAAGCGTTACGGTTTTAAAGAGGTGACGTTAAGTGACGTGCCTGAGGTCACCCAGCGGCCAGTAGCAGAACTAGGAACATCCGTTACACTGGCCACTGAGCCCCACTTCCTGCCCCCAGTCCCATCTGTATCACAGTCCTGTACAAGACTCCCAAAGCCACCCGCTATTCCCAACTCACAGCCCTTTCCGAGGGACAGACCAGGCCAGGACTGCCAGAGCGCGCACCCTCTGCCCCTTTTATCCGAGAGCCGCAGCATTCACCCTGCATGCGCACAGCCGCTCTGGCTGGCCGGGAACGGCTCCTCCCCCCAATGAATCAACATGGGGCAGCTCTTACCGACAGGCGCCACATTGATGATGTACCCATCCCCCAGATACAGAGCCCAGTGCTGATAAGCCGGCCGGAAAATCTCGATCAGGTCCCCGGGCTGGGGGTTGCCCAGATACGCCAGACTGAAGCTGTCATTAGCCGCCATCTGCAATGGGACAGACAGAGACACCAACTCTGAACGTGTCCCTCCCTGTTCCGCTCAACACGCACAATGCAGGAGGGGTCTGGAGTGTGGACAGGAAACCACTTAGGCAGGTATCAGGAGACAGTGGAGGAACAGAACATTTAGACTGAGAGTTAGCATAAATTCCTGACAAGGTGCAACATACTTACAAAGCATGTGACTTTCTTCCCTCCGGTGGCTGGAGGGTAACAGCCTGCTACTGCTACCAGCTCAAACAACTGTTCCTTTGGCTCTGGTGGCAACGAGCTCGTGCTTTGGTCTGGGACGCAAACCCTGCCGGGGGCTGTTGCCAAGGCAATCCCTCCCCTCACCACTGGGACAATTTGAATTGGACAAGGCACTACTGACCTGCTGGGGTAAGAAGTCACTGCAGCAGGGGATGGGCTAGAGGAGATGCCACCCAGGGCCTTTTCCATCCCAAGCTTCTATACTCCTGGGGGAATTCTGCACCAAAATAATAAAAATTCTGCACCAAAAAATTAAAAATTCTGTGCACAATATTTTAAAATTCTGCATATTTTATTTGTCAAAATAATGCAATATAATCATGCCAGTTTCAATCATTTTGGTTATTTATTTAAACTACAATACAATGGATGGAGAATTAGAGTGGAGCGGATTGGAGGAAATCCCCAAACTTCCTTTGTCTAATAGTAATGTAGCTTGGTTTGACCCTTTATTTCCAGTTATTAGGCAACAAATATATGGAGCCATATGCTCCGTGTTACATCATAGGCAACTGAAGAGCAAATGAGGGATGGAGAATTTATATTGGCTATTGACCATCTCCAAAAAGGTCAGCACCAAACAGTTCATGGAGCACATTTTGATAGGAATTTTTTTCACTCCAAAAATTTAGACCAGTTCTAATCTCTAAAACACTGTAAGCATTTCTAAAACCATGATGTCCTTTAACCACTCTGGCAGTGTAACGGAGCCTTAAAACTTTTACACCTGTTTCATATTCCTGGGGGAATTCACAAAGACAATGGGAACAATTCACTAAGCAGGCAGGCTGCTACATTCTGCTCTGCCCCACGTCTACCTCCTAAGAAACACCCCCAAGCCCTCCTCTCCATGCCGAGCGTGTTGCAATAGCGAGCAAGAGGGACAGAGCGTCTCTCTCTCTCACGCACGACTGCACAGCCTCCCACCCACACCCCATCCCAGCAGTGATTTATGTCTCTACCAGCTACTCCAGGCGCCCAAACCAACCTGCCTGCACTGCCAGGGAGAGGTGCATGACCACTCTTGCGGGCTTCCCTTTGCGTCCCCACAGAAAAATGGCTTCATAGAATCATAGAATAGAATCATTGAATATCAGGGTTGGAAGGGAGCTCAGGAGGTCATCTAGTCCAACCCCCTGCTCAAAGCAGGACCAATCCCCAACTAAATCATCTGACTTCTGACAGGGAAGCAAAGAAATCTGCGGGCGACATGAATTCTGCACATGTGCAGTGATGCAGAATTCCCCCAAGAGTAGCTTCTACCCCTAAGTGGCTGCAGGCCAGATTCTCCCTCCTCTCACATGGGAAACTCTGTGAGGTTACAGGTGCCTGCTAGTGGCTAGAGGCTGTTATTCCTTCCCTCCCTCAGGCTAGAGAGTTATTCCTTCCCTCCCTCAGTATCCACAATGGAATGGCTTCATCAGGAGGCACTGAAAGAGCCCACCCAAGCACACTATAGCCAAGCAATTAGGGCACCAGCAGGGGTGTGGCCCAGCCCTGAACCCTCATCTCCCGCATCCTAGGCACTTGCCCTGAACAATGAGCTATTGGCTGCTCTGGGGTCACTCTCAATTTCACCCTGGACCTGAGAGACCTTCCCGAGGAACGTCTCCTTGAAACCAATACACTGCCATGAAAAGTTTCAGTTTTGACAAATCCGCTTTTTCCAACAAAAGAAAGTTGTGTTGAAAAACTGCAAACCTGCTCGAGTCCCTCCATGAGAATCTCCGGTGTTATTTAAGAGAAAAAGTAAGTTTTAGCCCTCATGATTGCAGAGAAAAGCTGGAAAATGTGGCCCTGAAACACTCCAAACTCAGAAGGCAAATAAAAAGACCTTAAAATTATTTTACTTTTAACCTATCATGATTCTTAAGCCAACTTCAGGATGTGGGACCAGGCACATCACACTATCATTTGGGGTTGGTGAGATTGCGAGCAGGATGAAGAGAATAGCACCACCTACCGCCTACCTAGCACAGTTCATCTGTGGATCTCAAAGCACTTTACAAAGCAGGTCAATGTCATTATCCCCATTTCACAGCAGGAGAAACTCAGGCACAGAGAGGTGAGGATTTCCGCCTGATGGATTTGTAGCTGGGAAGATTCAATTACAATGGACTAAATGAAGAGAAGTGAGCAGCAGTAGAAGAATGTCTCAAACTGAAACGTAAGCTCTACAGGGCAGTAATTAGGCCTGTACTGGTGCCTGGCTCCGAATGCTGGGCATTGGGGAAGAATCAGGGGCAGATCTTGAAGAACGTGGAAATGAAAGAGCTGGATGGATGCCTGGAGCTACACTGATGGACCATGTTCAGAATGAACAAATCAGGGGAAGTGGGAAGATGGCACCAACTACAGAAAGGCTGAGGAAATCCAGGCTTAGGTGGCTTTAGGCAAGTGCCAAAAACAGGGTTACATTTAGGAATGGAGGGTCAGAGAAGGGTTGGAAGACACAGCATTAGATGGATGGATGTCACGGGCCAGGATCTGATTAGCCGCGGACTTCCCAAGGAATTGCTCCAAGACAGACTGGAATGGGGGAGCAAAAGGACTCAAAGAAGCCAGCCAGGACCGGTGGGACTAAGGCTACAAGAGGAGGAATTCGAACCCAGAACAAGCCGGAGTAATAGCAGTGCGGTCTCCACATATATCCAAATGGCGATGCCCATTGGATCTGTTTTGCTCGCTGGAACAAGGAGGTCAAATTCTCCAGGCTCAGCTTTGCAAATGTTTCTGCAGAACAATTATTCAAATCCATTTTGTGGGGCTTCTCCTCTGTTTGATACAAATCATTTCAGAAACCCTGCGCCTCCTGGCTGCGTTGGGAAGCAGGCCTCACGGGGGAGAGCAGCTCTGGCAATTACAGGAGCAATAAGGGTGGTCTTGCTAATCAGCCTAATTTCCCCTTCCTTAATGTTTTGCCATGACTGTTTGCCACCTTGTTTAGCAGCCTGCTGAATAAGCCCCCCTCAGCAACCGCGTAATCCTCTCTGGGCTTCCCAGGTACTGCGGTGACGGCCACCAGGATAAAACAGTAACGCCGGTGGAGAGGACCCACATTCAGCACGTTTGGTCTTTACTCTTCACTCCCTCCTACCCGCCTTGGCTCACAAGTGCTGCTCGTCTCTTTGCCTGCAGCGACTGCCCACGGTGCTCAGTGCCCACGCCACGCAACACCCACGCCACCCAGCACCCAGAGCTCAGCACCCACGCCACGCAGCGCCCACGGTGCTCAGCGCCCACGCCACGCAGCGCCCACGGTGCTCAGCGCCCATGCCATGCAGCGCCCACGGTGCTCAGCGCCCACGCCACGCAAAACCCACGCCACCCAGCACCCAGAGCTCAGCACCCATGCCACGCAGTGCCCATGGTGCTCAGCACCCACGCCATGCAGCGCCCACGGTGCTCAGCACCTAGGGCTCAGCACCCATGCCATGCAGCACCCATTCCACGCAGTGCCCATGGTGCTCAGCACCCACGCCACCCAGCACCTAGGGCTCAGCACCCACGCCATGCAGCGCCCACGGTGCTCAGCACCCACGCCACCCAGCACCCATTCCACGCAGTGCCCACGGTGCTCAGCACCCACGCCACGCAGCACCTAGGGCTCAGCACCCACGCCACGCAGTACCCACGGTGCTCAGCACCCTGACCCCCCAGTCCTGCCTTAGCGCCGGGGCAGCCGGAGAATCATCCACAGCAGCAGCCCGGGCAGCAAGGGCCCTGGCCCGGGGCTGTCACGACGCCCCCCTCTCGGCCCCCAGGCAAAGCGGGGGCGACTGTTCCCAGCGGCGCCGGGGCAGGACCTTCCCCAAACAGACCCGGTCCGCCTCGGGCCGGGGCCGGGGCCCTTACCCGGGGGGAGCGCTGCGGGGATGGTGCCCGGAGCAGCTGGGGCGGCCCCGCGAGCGGCCCCCGGGCTCCGGTCCCAGCCCCGACACGTGTGTGACCCGGAGAGCCCCCGCGTCAGCCCGGCCCGGCCCGGCTCGGCTCGGCCCGGCCCGGCCCGGCGTGGCTGCCAGGGGCACGGACTCACACCCAGACACACGGAAAGCATGCATCCAAGATGAAACACACACGCCGCGAACACACACTCACACGCTGCCACCACTCACCGCCAGCTGCCTCACACTCACACTCACACACACACACGCCGCGAACACACACACACACTCACACACACGCTGCCATCACTCACCGCCAGCTGCCTCACACTCACACACACTCACACACACACACCGCGAACACACACTCACACACACCTCCATCACTCACCCCACTGCCTCACCACACACACACACACACACACACACACACACACACACTCACACGCCGCGAACACACACACACGCTGCCATCACTCACCGCCAGCTGCCTCACACTCACACACACACGCCGCGAACACACACACACACGCTGCCATCACTCACCGCCAGCTGCCTCACACTCACACACACACACTCACACACGCCGCGAACACACACACACACACACACACACACACTCACACGCCGCGAACACACACTCACACGCTGCCACCACTCACCGCCAGCTGCCTCACACTCACACACACACTCACGCCGCGAACTCACACTCACACACACTGACTCTCTCTGCGACACAAGCGGCCTGTTGCCGGCGGCCGCTGCCACGCGCCCCAGGCGCCCCCCGCCGGCAGCGGCCCCAGAGCCCGGGGGGGGGAGCCGGCTGGGGGGGGGGCAGCCCCCCATCACGGGCCGGGCCGGGCCTGGCGGGGTCCGAGGCTCGCCTTGCGGCGCCCGGCCCGGGGGGCAGCGCGGCGCGGGGAGCGGGCTCGGCCCCGCGGGCGCCAGGCAGGCGCAGGTCCGGGCTCGCTCCGTGCTGGGGCCGGGGGCCGGGGAGCCGGGCCGGGGGCTTGGCTCGGACCTTTCCCCGCTCGCCCCCGCACAGGGCGCAGGTGGGCGACCCGCACCCGCCGGGGAGTGGGGCCCTGCGCCGTCTAGGGGCACCCAGACCCCTTAGAGGCCGCCCCGCAGCCCTGGCTGTCAGCCCAGGCCCGGCTGGGTCCGGGACAAGCCCCCCCCGGTGACTCCGACAGGCTGTTCCCCGAGGCTGGAGCAAACGGATTAATCGCTTTCCGAGAGGTCCCGGTGCCACTTGAGGGGACAGACCAGCTCCCCCCGACGGCGTGTGGGTCACACCTGCGCGGGAAGGAAGCTGGGACTGGCCCCCTTGGCAAAGCTGGGGCTGGAGGGAAACCTGGGATCTTGCTTTCCTGCTCCAGCCCTGCCTCCATCCCAGACCGGCCCCCACCGCGCCCCCGCCCCAGTAATGCTGCCGCGGGGCCTCATGGGCTGCCCCATTGCTGGGTGTTTTGCCCTGGTGCCCCCACGCCTGGCCCACGGTCTCCGTCCCGGAGCTTTCGTGGATCTGTCGGATACCAGGATCAGGGCCCAGACCTCGCCCTTGAGTCTGCCGGCCGGGAGGCGGGGGAGGCCGCGGAGGGCAGGGGTGATGTGCTGGCGGGGCAGAGCAGGGGGGCTGCCCTGTTCTGTACCGGTTGGAGGTTCCTGCCCGTGGAAGGTTGGCCAGGAGGAGATTCCCCCCAGGGTTATTTAATGAGGCTTTTTGCTGCGCACGTCATACTTTTACATGCAGTATCCCACCGCAGGGCCCAGTGACTCCACTGGAAACAGTGACATGGCACCAGGGGACGTTATCTAAGCTCGTCAATCCTGTCCACATGGCCCCCCGAGTGCCTCCCTGGGATTACAAGGAGACGCAATGCCGTGCACACACGTGATCCTGTGCGTTCACTCCAGGACAGCTCAGCTGTTCCTCATGTCACACTGGACAAACACTCCCTCCTTAGGGAGTCAGTGGGACACAATCACCCCTGCAGCACGCTCTCTGTGTCGGACTCTCTGGCACTAATTCAGGCGTGGGGAGTGGGGACAGCTGTCCCAGCCGGGTGGGGTGGGGAAGGCTCTTTTCCTTGTTGAGGAATTGGGATTCAGGAGCCCTGGGAGGGCGAGGGTGACATTGGTTCAGTGCTTTCCACCTCTGCCGCAGGGAGATAAAGAGTGGGGGGTTAAGAGCCATTGGCCATTATCTTTGAAAACTCGTGGCGAACGGGGGAAGTCCCGGATGACTGGGAAAAGGCTAATGTAGTGCCAATCTTTAAAAAAGGGAAGAAGGAGGATCCTGGGAACTACAGGCCAGTCAGCCTCACCTCAGTCCCCGGAAAAATCATGGAGCAGGTCCTCAAAGAATCAATCCTGAAGCACTTACATGAGAGGAAAGTGATCAGGAACAGTCAGCATGGATTCACCAAGGGAAGGTCATGCCTGACGAATCTAATTGCCTTCTATGATGAGATTACTGGTTCTGTGGATGAAGGGAAAGCAGTGGATGTATTGTTTCTTGACTTCAGCAAAGCTTTTGACACGGTCTCCCACAGTATTCTTGTCAGCAAGTTAAAGAAGTACGGGCTGGATGAATGCACTATAAGGTGGGTAGAAAGTTGGCTAGATTGTCGGGCTCAACTGGTAGTGATCAATGGCTCCATGTCTAGTTGGCAGCCGGTGTCAAGTGGAGTGCCCCAAGGGTCGGTCCTGGGGCCGGTTTTGTTCAATATCTTCATAAATGATCTGGAGGATGGTGTGGATTGCACTCTCAGCAAATTTTGTGGATGATACTAAACTGGGAGGAGTGGTAGATACGCTGGAGGGCAGGGATAGGATACAGAGGGACCTAGACAAATTGGAGGATTGGGCCAAAAGAAATCTGATGAGGTTCAATAAGGATAAGTGCAGGGTCCTGCACTTAGGACGGAAGAACCCAATGCACAGCTACAGACTAGGGACCGAATGGCTAGGCAGCAGTTCTGCGGAAAAGGACCTAGGGGTGACAGTGGACGAGAAGCTGGATATGAGTCAGCAGTGTGCCCTTGCTGCCAAGAAGGCCAATGGCATTTTGGGATGTATAAGTAGGGGCATAGCGAGCAGATCGAGGGACGTGATCGTCCCCCTCTATTCGACATTGGTGAGGCCTCATCTGGAGTACTGTGTCCAGTTTTGGGCCCCACACTTCAAGAAGGATGTGGATAAATTGGAAAGAGTCCAGCAAAGGGCAACAAAAATGATTAGGGGTCTGGAACACATGACTTATGAGGAGAGGCTGAGGGAACTGGGATTGTTTAGTCTGCAGAAGAGAAGAATGAGGGGGGATTTGATAGCTGCTTTCAACTACCTGAGAGGTGGTTCCAGAGAGGATGGTTCTAGACTATTCTCATTGTTAGAAGAGTACAGGACAAGGAGTAACGGTCTCAAGTTGCAGTGGGGGAGGTTTAGGTTGGATATTAGGAAAAACTTTTTCACTAGGAGGGTGGTGAAACACTGGAATGCGTTACCTAGGGAGGTGGTGGAATCTCCTTCCTTAGAAGTTTTTAAGGTCAGGCTTGACAAAGCCCTGGCTGGGATGATTTAATTGGGGATTGGTCCTGCTTTTGAGCAGGGGGTTGGACTAGATGACCTCCTGAGGTCCCTTCCAAACCTGATATTCTATGATTCTATGATTCTAATCCCTAGGGGGCTTTCCAGGGATCCGTGGGTGCTGCCGTTCCACCCTCCCCTTCACCCCGTGATGGAACGATCTGGGGGGAATTCTGGCAGGGGAACTGCACAGAATCTCCTCCCCTGCAGCCACATGTTCAGTGCTTGGTTTTTGTAATGTCAGGTAAGTCCTACTAGTGAGGTGAGTCTGATGCTCTCAGCTGATTGTGTCCAGCAGGTATCTGTGGCCTGGGACAGTGGCATGGGAACAGGTTCCCTGTGGACACAGCGGGAAGCTGCATGGGGGAAGCTGGCTTTGCACCCGGCATCCGGCTTGCTCTGGTGTGATCAGAGATTAAAAGAAAACAGTTCGGAGCGACACAAGTACGAAGCCTCTGGCAGCTCATGTCAGAGGATCATGGGACCCATAGGAGAGGGAGAACAATTATACTTTTTACACGGTGTCATTCTGAAGGGGCACTGCTGACACGGACTAGTTCATTCCGTGCCACAGAACGCTGCTGTGCGCTTCGTTTGGCATCGGTTCAGGCCTGAATTGTTGACAAGGTTTTCAGTGGGGAAGTGAGGGAATCCTCACTGCAATCAAGTGGGAAAAGGTACAAATCCATGGAAACCCAGGAATCTGCTCTAAATGTGCAAATACGGGCCTGGCAGCTCAGGGAGGCCTGTGGTTGGATCCTGCAGGATCCTGAGTTCCCTCAGCTCCCGCTGGCTGCAATGGGCACTGAGTGTGCTCAGCGCCTGATGAAAGCTCTCTGAACTATGCAGAATTGGGCTTTTAGCATGTAGGAGAAAGATCATTGTTAACAGGCAGCTAGTTTGGAGCAGGTGAAAACGAGGCTTTTATAACTGCCACGAAATTCCAATGGCAACAGTGCTTGTTTGCCAGAGCCGGTCCCTAACCCTGTTTGGTTTTATTTTCATTAGATAAGAAATATAAAGCCTTCCCCCCCCATTTACATCCACTTCTCTCCTCAATAGCTGCACATTCTGAATGTACAGACAAAGGCCATGTTCTTGAATGCGCTGGCAGAACAATGCACTTTTCATCCACCCAACCATTCACGTAGCTTCCAAATACTCTCCTGGCTGACGGGCAGGGCGGATTTACACTTTACGTGCCCCTAGGCACCGCATCTTTAGTGCCCCCCCCGCCTACAGCTGACCTTAGTGTTGCACACCGTTTCAGAGAGGTAAGGTGCCCCTAGAATGCCAGCGCCCCTAGGCACGTACCCACTGTGCCTAATTGGAAATCCAGCCCTGCTGATGGGATGTGAATGAATCAGCACTTAAGGGAGTGTGCATACACATAAGGGGGCAGCGTAATGGTTTTTAGAGTAATAGTAAGTAATATTCCAGCAGGAACAAAGGAGAAACTTAATTATTGTTCATCCCCTATATAATTGACAGCAAACCTGAAATTCAATGGAAGACCAGCAAAGAGATCCTGATCCAAACCTCCTAGCGTAGTCAAGGAAACCCACCCATGTCAGTGGATAATTGTACAGAGCCAGCACTGGGCTCTCTGGGCTGACGTGGGGCGTTAGTGGTGTCTAGGCCATGTGGGAAGTAATTGTTGCTAAGCCTTGTGCGGGGTGAATTCCATCCAGTCCCGACTCAAACGAGCAGTGCACCTGAAGTCAATGAGATCTCTAGTGTGAGTCAGGACGAAGTGGCTTCAACAAGGGTTTGCAGGAGACATTAGGAAGAACAGAGCATAGTAGAGCATTCAGAAGTACAGTGGTTTATTAGACATTATTATTGTTTAGGAAAGGGTTAGAAACACTTGTTAGAATACAACAGCAAAAAAAAAAACAAAAACAAAAACAAACAGATGGAAGAAAAAAATGCCAGTAATTAAAACGTGACTGATTTTCATCCTACTCAAATGCAGCATTGGTAACGGAGCTGTAGTCTGGCACATGTGAGTTCTGGTCCAGCGCATCTCTTGATTGGGTCAAAGACAAATTCCTCCTCCTGGGGAATTCCCGTGACTTTTTCCTGTTAATTCTGTAAAGAAAAGTTAACAAGAAATAAAAAGCTGCACTCCTCTTCTTACCGGCAGTGCAACAGAGATCAGACACTGTTTAAAATGGTGCCTTGAATAGTCTGGCCCACTCCTGGCTGTTCTGGGTTTGAGGCATGATGTACGTAGTGTGAATGCTCTGAGAGCTGACAAACCCTGAACTGGGGGAGATGCCCCTCAGCCCTGCTGAGCTGCAGCAGTTGGGAAATGCCGTACCTTAACCTGGATCGCCACACAACCAGGGAGATGATCACAGCGAGGACGATGATTCCTGCTGAAACTCCCACAATGATGTAGACCAGAGAGCTGACATGTTTCAGTGGGACAACTGAGTGAGAAATAGGAGCCTGGTTTAGTACACAGGAGATGAGTGCAAGGGAAAAGTGCTGGAAATGCCATCTCAGACTTACTATGGAACTGCTAGCTCCATGATCCAAACAGCAAATGTGCCTGTCTGTCTAACTGACTGACTGACATTGTGCAGATGGGCTTCTGGAATGCAAGCCTGGGACAGATCCAGGCCCCAGTGCCGCCCAGCACTGGGCTGGACCATCTCTCCAGCGAGCTACCAGAGCTAACAGCTGTTCCCCATTTGGAGGTCTAACTTTCTTCCCTCCAAACAGAGCACCCCATGTGCGCCACGGTAATCTGGCGCACGCCCCTTCTGCAGCCACAAGGGTAGGGCGCTGCAGGAGGCTGTCCTATGGCATAACCCAGTGCGGACGCACAGGTACCTGGGCGTGATGTGAACTGCTCCTCGGGCAGGGAGCATCAGAGCCCCGTCTCTGTGATGCCACCCAGAAACAGGTGTGCCAAGGCCCCTCCTAACTCCTGCAGGGTGTGGAGCTGCGAGCCCCGCTAATGGCGGCAGGCCGTTCTACTAAGCAGCCGTTTGTTAATGTGAATATGCCATTTGGCTGGAACGCCTCCGTCAAGCACTGCAGAGCATGCGTCCTGCTCCGCGCCAGGGTAGACCTTCCATTGACCTCAAGGGGACCACGACGCTGGCCCTGCAGGCCCTTACACACAGGAGTACTCTAAAGGGCTTCAGTGGGACTACTCACACGATCAAGGGTTTGCAGGATCGGACCCTTAGACCAGTGTGGTTAAATCTAGTGCCCTAAAACATGGCATGGGCCTGATTCTGCTCTCTCATTGGCCTCACTCCACTGCCTTCAGCAGAGCAACTCCTGATTTGCACAAGTGTAACCGAGAGCAGAATCAGGTTCTGTATGTCCTGGTCACGTAGCCTTTCTGTGACCTTTGGGCCACACTGTACATACTCAGCGCACAAGGTTTTTGCTGCTGCAGCACTTAACTTTCGAATGACATTCAAAATAGCTTTTTTACCTGGTGTTTCAGCCTCACAGAGAGACCCCTCGTATCCGTCAGGGCACACACAAGTGAAGTTGGAAGAGCTGTTGCTGGATTCGCTTGTATCCTCAATACAAGTCCCACCATTCTCACAAAGATTCTGCAGACATGGGCCAGCTAGAGAAATGAGAGAGAAACAGGTCAGCATCTCAGAATTGCCTACCCCGGTGATGCTTTCTGCTGTAGGTTCCAGTAACCAGTCATACTGGACCAGCCCTGTATTTTTAGGGCACTTCCCTTTGGTGCTTGCCATCCCATATCAGCTCAATTCAGGATGCTCGTCCTGTGCTCCAGTCAATGGTTTTTCTGTACAAGGCTGGTGCCACTGTCCCCACATAACACAACAAGGTGTGGGAGAGGATAGCTTTTATTGGACCAGCTTCTGTTGGTGAGGGAGGTGAGCTTTGGGCCACTCAGAGCTCTTCCTCGGGTCTTCTTCCCATATATGACCTCACCCACCTTGTCTCTCTAACATCCTGGGACCAACACAGCTACAAGACCCTCCACGGTGATGCATTTCGCTGGTAGACAAACCCACAGCAAAGACTTCACAGCCCCAGAGCCCAAGCACCATGGTTAGGAAGTGACTCACGCGTGTAGCATCCGCGTGTGAAGTTAGCGACGGCACAGATCTCTCGGCTGGAACACGCTGCCCTAGTACAGGCAACGCTGGAACTAGTTGTGCACTCACAAGTCTGAGAGCAGTCATCGGTCACAAACGTTTCTCCAGTCTGGAAGAGAACAGCTAAGGTGTAAAGGCATCTAATCAAATCAGCCAGGACAATATGAAGGATGCACTAGGGACCCAATCCTGTTCCCACTAAGTCTATACCAAATGTCCTGTTCACTTCAGTGGGAGCAGGAGTGGGCCCTTTGCAGTTGGGTAAGGTACGTAGAGAAAGCAAACCAGCAGCCTAGGGACCCCAGTAGCCTGGGAAGCCCTAGGCCTGCTCCTAAAGACTAAAGGAGAGCCCAAGTAAAAAGGTCACCCAAGGGTTTGAGAATGAGTGATGGATCCTCACCCCAGCTCAGTGCCCTGTGCAGCCAGGCAATGTCCAATTAGAGCTTGGGACCAGAGACAGCAGCAGCTGCAGCCCGCTGCACTCCCATCCTATGGGGGCTTCTGGCCACACCTCTGGCAAACACCTGGCATGTTCCTCTGATCATCACAGAGAGCTGTCTTGAATAGTGATCTGTTCAGGTTTAGTGCTTGTGCACATCGGAGCTATAGCATTTAAACCTCAAGCCATGAAGCTGCTTCCATGAAGTCTGAGCCTGCCTCAGGGTGCGCCTCAGTTTGCAGGGTCAGGCCCTATTTGCAGAAATCTTCATGCAGGGTCTAGTTCTGCAAGATTTTGAGCACATCCCATGTTAGCGCCACCTCATAGGATCGGGCCCACAGCGAGGGTACTAATCCGGACTTTTGTAACTGGATTTTTACATCTTTGGAACCCCAGAGTATAATCTTACTCTCGGATTCCCATGTGTAATTATTCAGAGCAACGATGGGACAGAATGAACATGGACTTCACAGGGCAAGCACATGGGATCCCAGAGAGCATGCTCTTACTGCACTGCTCTGCATGCTTCCCGCAGACAGCGTGTCAGAGATTCACTGGCAGTGTATGCTGTTCCCTTCCTTTGCCTTCCCTCTCTTGAGGGCCCAGGATGTCAGGGCATGAACTGCTGTTGGCTGCTAACCAAGAGCAGCATGCTGACGAGAACGGGAAGGAAAGGAAATCACTAATGGGGAGAGTAATACTCGACACCAGGTGCTGATCACCTCTCAGAGTGTGCCAGGCTGGCGTTCTTCAGGCACTTCCTACCATACCTTATAATATGTGTTGAGGAAGCTGCAGCCACACTCCTTGTAGGGCACGCAGTCATAGCCACTGAGAACGTATCCAGGGAGGCATTCGCAGCCTTCGACACAGGGCGACTCGCACTCGGAGGAGGCTGCCAGGTTGCCGCAGGAATCTGGGCACGCAGTCATGCAGCTGCTGTACTTGCTGTTTGGGGGACACTGCATCTCTGCAAGAAAAATTGGGAGAGCCAAATTGAATCAGGGCGCTACTACACATGGGGACATACGCTGAGCCTCATGAAAATCCCCACTGTGCTTTCAGCTGGAGAAGGCGTCCTTCCTCCGCAGTCCTGAACCACTGCTGGGTGTTATTTATATATTGCCCTTCCTACCCCAGAGGTGGCTGCATTTCAGGGGTAGGTGAAATGGTCCATATATGTTTTAGAAGAACATTCAAGTTGCAATTCAAGCACTCGAGAGTTAGGAAATGGCAGAATTAATCTTGCACATGCTTCCTGCTCTCAGGTCTGCGGATCAGTGATCTCGGTGCGACTGTTCACATGCTTAAAGTCAGCCGTGTGCTTAAGTACTAGAGCTGGTGATCGAGAATTTTTTGGTGATCAGGTTTTTCACCAAAAAAGGTGGATTGATTGAAACCAGCCCTGTTTGCAAAGCCCAGGTTGTTCTGTTGAATCTTCTGACCCAAAAAGTTTGGGGGAAAAGTTTCAAAATTGTTAAAATGGGATTTTCAAAGTGAAAAGATTTGTTTTTTCAAGGCAAAATGACTTTCTGTTCCAAAATGGTAGTAAATATGGACTAAAAAAAGGCCAAGGCTGAAGCAAAGCATTTCCAAATTATCAAATGGCAGGGATTCAATTGACCCAAACAGATTGTTTTTTTTTCTTTTCAGATTTTTGATTGGTGAAAATTTTCAAGATTTGGCTTTTCATTCAGATTTGGGATGGGAAAATTACACAGTCTCTTAAAGAATGTTCGTAGGACAGAAAAACGGTTTCTCTCCTAGCTCTGTTGAGTAGCTGGCTGAAACAGGGCCTAGGTGAGACAAGCCAGCCTAGGACTCAGTAAGACAATTCAGAAGAGGGAGAGCAGGAGAGGGCTGGTTGAGCCAGCATGCCAACTGGCCTGTGCCCCTGGATCCATGCAAAGACACCACAAGAGCTGAGGGGAGGATGGGGTTAGGGTTATTTTTAAAGCCCAGTAAAGAGCTGACTCTTGGCAGCTTCCGGGTAAAGAATCAGAACTCAGATCCTGGGGGATCTTCCCAGCGGCAAACCCTGATTTCTGGGTCCTATAAAGGGCTCTTCTATTCTCACCACAAGGCGTCTGTGCTCTCCAGTTTTCCAAAGTGATCCCATTCTCCTGACAGACCAGCGCGTACTGCTCCAGGTGCCGACACAGCACAGCATTGTTCTCGGCTTCCGCACACAGGTCAAAGGCACAGCCCCTGTGTGCAACATGAGAAGGCATTCATGCCGAATACAATAGTTACTGCTTTTCCCCTGCTTCCACATGGGGCCCTTTGCTGACTGAGTAGCGAGAGAGGAAACAGTTGTGGGTCCTTGGGAAGATGAGGCCATTTATTCTACAGTGGCTGCAGCTAACATGCAGCATATGCACATACGCCCACGCAAGAAGCAGGGACATGAGTATTTCAGAGCAGGGCCATTCCTTCGGTCTCTCTGTTCCTGTTTGGTGACAGAGCTGTTTCAGATTGATAATGGGCGGCATATTGCTAGGAGGCGAAGGATTTCCTAGTGCAGCTATGTTTGAGAGCACACACCCATACACACACTCCGGGCAGGTCTAAATGCTGCATCGGCGCAGTGGAGGGCTTCAGTGAAGATGCTACTATACCGACGGGACGGGACGGGAGAGCGTCTCCCTTCAGCGCTGTTAATCCACCTCCCAGACAGGCTGTAGCTATGTCAACTTGAGACACTCTCCCGTCAATATCGCGCTGTCTACACGGGGGTTAGGTGAGTATAATGACATTGCTCAGGGTGTGTAATTGTATTGATCTAAGTTTATAGTGTAGACCTGGCCTCATACCACCCCCCCAGACCCGTCCCATATGCACACTCACCATTAACATTGATCCATTGTGACCCTGTCACCTGACCTCATCATCTTGAACATTGGCCGGATTTTTGGAGCTGTCTAATGTCTGTAACATTCCTCTGACTTCAGTGTGTGTGTGTGGGGGGAGAGACGGGGGGGCAGGTGCTAAGCCCCTCTAAAAATCAGGCCCTTACTGAGAAGACAGAGCAGACCATCCAGGGAAGTTCTGAGGTGTCGAGTGAGGAGTTTCATTATTTGTTGGCGAATGAATAGGGGGCCTGACTCCTTTCCCTTCACACAACTCTGGCAGCATAAAGGGGCCACACAGTGGGTGTTAACTGTGTTTGCACATCCAGTGTATGCAGTGTTGTGGTAGATGTGGGTCCCATGACATTTACACGCTGACGGAAGGATCCCAACTGCAGGTGCAGCCTGCTAAGTGCAGGAGCCTTGGCAGGCCTGTGTCCGTGCCTGTGATGGGATGCATCAATGGGATCCCCAGAGGTTTCAAGTGAGTTACCTGCAAACTGCAGGATGCTAGCAGAGGCCCGAAACATAACCGAGGAAGTTCTCATTGAAGCCAACAGGGCAAATGACTATGGTCCTTGGGAGACGCCTGCGTGGTGCAGGCAAGAAGTGGCACTGACAGTTTCAGCCTTTTTGGCAGGAGCATAAAGGCTGCATTTTACAAGTCACTAAACATTACAGCTGGAATTTCCAAAGGAGCCTATGGGAGTTAGACACCCAAATCTCACTGAATTTTAATGGGTGTTGGATTCCTAAATTCCTTAGGCTCCTTTGAAGAATCCAGCTTGTATGCCGTGTAGTTTTGGCCGTGTCGGGCCCAAGTTACTAGAGAGACAAGGTGGGGGAGGTAGTATCTTTTATTGGCCAAATCCCTGTTAGTGAGAGAGACAAGCTCTTGAGCCACACAGAGCTGAAGAAGAAGTGTGTGGCTCAGAAGCTTGTCTCTCTCACCAAAATACGTTGGTCCAATAAAAAATATTCCCTTCCCCACCTTGTCTCTCAGAAATCTAGCTTGCAAGTGTAAGGGTTACCAGTGCAAACATGGCTGTGCAACAAAAGGGAAAAGCTACCTGTGGTGGGGCAGCTGCCCACTACGGCAGAACAGGGGTTCAAGGCAGCCCTGACGAGGGCTGCGGCTGGGAAAAGCAGTGAGAGCAGCTGAGGGAGTAGCTGACCACAGCTGTGGCCAGCTTAGTCCAGGCCCAGCTGGCCCTGAAAAGAGGGCTGGGGGCCAGGAGCTGGAAGTGTCTCTCTCTAGCCCTGGCGTGGGAAGGGCTGGCTGCCTGGGAGCAGGGTATCTGAAGCAGAGCAGTGCTGGGGAAAAGGGCAAGAGGAGCTGGGGAGCTCCAGCCTGGTAAACCCCCAGGCTGAGGCCTTGTTAAAGGCCCAAGAAGGTACTGGGGCTGCAGAGGGGCAGCCCGGGGATGGGCAAAGGCAGCAGGTCCAACCTCCTTGCCAATGATGAGTGGCCGTTACAGGCTGCAGTCTGCCCCAGGGACAGGGGGCTAGATGATGGCTGGCAGTAGCCACTGGCAGGGCTGGCATCAGGCACCAGTGTTCCAAGCAGGTGCTTGGGGCGGCAGTTTGAAAGGGGGGGCTGTTTCTCCGCGGCGGTGGCAGTTGTTTTCACTGGTTGGGGCGGCAAAAACTGTAGAGCCGGCCCTGGTCATTGGGGCAAGGTGGGTATAGAGGATTGGGGGTTCCCCCGGGAGGGGAGACCCAGAGTGTGGGGGTACTGTGGGGGCAGAACCCCGAGGTAAAGGGGCACCGGGGTCTGGGAGGGACACTGGGCCTGAGGCAGGTGAGCCACTGGCCAGCAGAGGGCACTCCCAGGCTGGAAAAGAGCTAATTCCCAGACGACCAGCAGGAGGCGCTGCCGGTGGCGAGTCTTCGCTTTGCTACGCTACCTTTCAGAGCTAGGGATAGTGCGAATTCCTCATCAGACAGAGACACAAACATACCCTTGAAAAATGCTCAAGCAGAATCTTATCACTTGCTAATGCAAATCTTGGGCCTGAGTCCCCCTCAATTTCCAAGGACTACACTGGCAGCACTTGCCAGGATCAGGAGAGAATAACAGGAGAACAGCGTGTGTGTCTCTAAGGTACTCACATCTGGAAGAACTCGACGGAGACATTGGACTGACACTTTACAAAGGGACCTTTTGGATCGGTAAGAATCCCACACTTGGAAGTGGCATTCACAAGGCTCAGCTCACTGGGATCGCAGCCTCCAGCGAGCCCTGTGTTTAACTCGACATTGTCAAGCTCCTCGTCTGAAAGGACTTCTCGCCTGTAATGAATAAAAGATTGACTGACCATCCGTTTTCTCGGTATGTCCAGCATTCACCTGAATATGCTCTTGGTAGTACAGTGAGCTAGTGCAGTGCCATGGGCAGGTCTAAGTTTAAGCAGATAGACCTAGGATCCTGGCACCTATGTTGAAGGAGATGGATGAACACAACATCAGAGGAGTATTAGAACGCCTCCACAGGATCTCACCGGTTCCTGGATTTTAAAGTCAGACGGGACCGTTACGACTCCAGTTAGATGTCCTGCATACTATAGGCCAGAGATTTCACCCAGCAATTCCTGCCTCCAGCCCACTAGATGCCTCTCAAGGGGTGGCCACAATGACACAGCTGAACTAGGACAATTGTATCTCGAAGGTACCATCACTTTTCAATGCCAAGAGCGCTAATGGACCATTGCCAGGTGCCTGAAGGCCAACCTGACTCTGTGTATCTGACTCCTGGGACACATTTGGGTCGCCCCGGGCCTGTACATTGTTTGCTTATGTTCTACCAGACAGCCTGCTGCAACAAGCAGTGTTCTAACTCATTCCATCTGCTCTTTGACTATCAGGGGAAAAAACCCTCTGGGTCAGGGACTTAACGGTGGGTCAGCACTGTCCATGTGGCTGGGAAGGGAGCCTAGGTAGGGAAGCGAGGAGGTGCAATGAATTGACACCATCGCCACAGCAGCCTGCTTTGGCAGGGATCACGGCAGTCCCTGACAGAATCCCAGAGGGAGGGCAGATGCTGGCAATGGAGCCTGCCCTCCCTTGGATCATCCCACCCAACAGGCAGGGAGGAGTAATTGACACCTTCCTGCAGAAAGGCCTGAGAGTCCAGCTGGACACAGGGTCTGAGTCACCTCTCTATCCCTCTGGGTTTATGGGGTTGACTCCTTGGAAGTCATGGGCATGAAACTGGACCAGTGCAGTGATGCCTCAGGCCCATGCTCTCCACACACAAGGGCGCTGTCACTTCCTCACCTTAGCAGTGAGCAGGACAAATACATAGGTGGACCCAGAGAGGGAGAAGAAAGATCAGAGATGCACTACGCAGTGCATTACCTCCTGGAACATTAACTAGGGTTTAATGAACTGCCTTTCAGGAGCCAAGTCTGGTCTGTATATATGCAGGGCCAGTACCTGCGCCGGGGGAATGTTCTTGTGATGGGGACTTTCCAGCTTTCCCCAAACACATCCACATCCTTCACTCGAGTGCCATCTGGCTTGGTAAAGTCGTTTTTATACTTCCCATCAAAGTTGCCGCACAAGCCTTCGACTTTGTTCTTGTAGGTGTTGGCCAGGGTTATATCTAATGGGGCCAGAAGGAAAAGCCGATGGAAAGAAACTCGTAGCCACAAGTGCACAGGTGACACAGAATGGACAGTTAGGCAGCCCCCCAGCATGAGCCATGCCACAGGCTGAGAATGTGGCAGGTGCCCTGTGCATGGGAGACAGACCTGCATTCAGAACTCCTGCAGGGCTAGGCCCACTTATACTGGCGACATAAAGGGAATCGCTGCTCGTTGATAATAATTACCCTTATTTATAGGACACCTCTGCCCAAGGGTTCCTACACAGCCCACATACTTGTGCGCACATCTCACTTTCTCCCCCACACACCCTACAGACTGACATATACCCTCGACTCACCTCTCCGATACAGTCCACCTGCTCTGGAATGGTACATCTACACGGCAATGGAAGACCTGCAGCACGGCCGCGGCTTGCCCAGACCAGCTGACTCAGGCTTGCGGGGCTTGGGCTGCCAGGCTAAAAATAGCAGAGCAGATGTTCGAGCTCGGGCTGAAGCCTGAGATCTGAGGCCCTGTGAGGAGGGAGGATCTCAGAGCCGGGGCTTCAGCCTGAGCCTGAATGTCTACACAGCTATTTTTGGCCCTGCAGCCCAAGCCCTGCGAGCCCAAGTCAGCTGACTCAGGCTCTGGAGCTCAGTGCCCTGGGTTTTTTATTGCAGTGCAGATGTAACCTAAGGGATCTCCCACCCTGCAAGGTGCATTCTATTGAATATCATTGAGTTCTTGGAAAACAGACCTTCCTTTCCTGCAAGACAGCTGGGATTTTAAGGCTTTGGGACTATGATTACGTGTATAAACACCCTGGATCCACGCCCCATTCTACCCAAAGCAATGATGTTCTGGGGGATCCAGAGAGAAGTATTGCTGTCTCTCTAGTTCCCGGGAAATAATTTGTCACCGGTTATCTGGGATTTCATACTACAGAGAAGAATCATGCGGTTAGACAATGCAAGTTCACAATTTACTTGGGGATTGGAATCTCCGATAGGACATGGCATTCAATGCATTCTGCAGTGAGTTCTCTTGGTCATTCTTACCTAAGTTTTCAGCACCATCATAGCTGAGCGATAAGCCAAAATCTGTCTCCATGTAAATTCTTGTAGGTCTCTGGTATATGCGAAGACCTTCATGAGGCTGGGCAGGGGGGATGGTTTTCACTCCATCCAGCTAACAGAGACAGAATTATTTATAACTCAGTGGACAGATCAAATTCAGACCTGCTTCCAGCAGAGGTGTGTAACACCCAGCTAATCTTTCCTGTTTTCAGGTTTTGTAATGAAATTTTCAGACAGCGATAATCATAAACAACTGATGTTCATCTCCTCACTGTAGCTAAATGCTGTGTAGAAAGAAGCCAGATTGATCTGAATTTCAATATTTTCATACCACTCTGGGAGCCCTCTGGGGTTTGGCTAGAAAAGACAGTGACTAGGTTTTACTGCCAGAAGTGTTAGCAGCAGCAGCTGCCTGTCTCTGGGAGTGCCTCCCAAGACCAGCCCAAGCTGCCCCATTTGTGATCCCATGCTGGGAAAGCACATCATGCTGTGCCAGGCAGAAATGTGACCCATTGTTGGGAATAGCTGACTTGTTGGGTCCAGAGTGCAATATTGTTTACTGACCTGCCTGAGCGAGACTGGGAGCCAGGAACTCAGGGATTTTAAACCCAGCTCTGACGCTGATATCATCAGCAGGTCCCTTGACTTCTCAGTGGCTCGGTTTCCCCATCTATAAAGTGGGGACCATTATCCATATTTACCTACCTCACAAGGCAGCTGTGGGGGATACTTGCTTAATCTTTGCAAAGTATGATGAGAAGCTGAGACACTGAGAAGCATTGTGTGCTAGTTAGTTTGCAGAAAGGGCTCAAATATAGTGATGCGTATTCTGTGAAATGCCTATTTAAATACAGCCCCGCATCTGCACTCAGGCATTGTTCCTGAGGCCAGCATCAGACTTCGCTCTGAGCAAACACGAGACAGAGTTTCCAGTGGTTACACTGAAAGTCCATTTTGGAACCAGACAGCAGCATTTATGTTCTTCATAGGCCCATTCAGAGACCATGAGACATTCTGCTGCAGTCTAGAAATCCTAAGTGGCATAATCAGTACACTTTATAAATGGTCAGGAATCCCTATTGGTCACTCCACATTTTTTGATGTTACAGCAGTAGGAGTGTGCAGCTTAATGCACTTCTTACCACAAGCTGCTTCTTCTGCCTGAACCACACTGTGTGATTGTAAACGGTGACATGTATCTCCTGGAGGAAAGAAATGGGGGACCCTCCGGGGAAAAGCTTGTTCTTTCCCTCAATGCTGAAGGATGGCAGGCGGTCAGGGATGCTGGAGACAGTCTGAGACAGCATGTATGTATGTTTGCCTTGGAAGTGATGCATCAAGCCATCAAACGTCAGGTAGTGTGGATCTCCAGTGATGAGGCACTTCCCAAAGCCTAACAGAGAACAGTCACATTAGCCTCCAGCGTGTATGCAGAGCCCAGTCGAACAGGGCCGAGTCTGTGCTGTGGCTCAGTTTTAATAAAGGGCTGGAGGGTTATGACATGCTTTCCTGTGAAAGCTACGATAGGTGCTCAGATACCACAGTATGGACACACAGACCGGCAGGCAGATGGTGAAACTCATCTCTGTGCTGAGAGCCTGTGGAAGTCCTCTGGGCTGAAGCAAGGTTTGAGTGGTTCACAGGCCCTGTGAGATGTGCATGGCACATACGGTTCCTTTGCAGAGGGGTGAGTCTCACCATGACAATGCAGTGGGCTTAAAGTGGGCTCGAAGAAGTGCCAGTTCGGTCATTGCCCAACAGCGGAATTTCAATAAGTTGCAACACAATGTTGGGGCCTTTACACCTTGTGTCTATGTTTGAAATGACACTTTGTCTGGCTCTGACCTGCATCTCACCTACCTCTGAGGTCTTTGTATTTATTGCTGTTTGCGAGACCTTGCAACCAGCTTTTAATGTGTTGGATAAAAGCAATAAAGGGGTAGGATGTGGCTGACCCCCATGAAAGTGCACAAAGGAGAAGGACAGGGGTGCAAGAAGGCTTCTCCCCTTTTCCATCCGCCCATGCAGGGGCCAGCCACAATCCAAATCCCAGTGCTCTCCTAAACACAGGCTCTGCTTCTTTCTGGTGCCACAGGAATGCTAGGACAGCTCAAATGGGGAAGGCAAGAGGCTGGAGTTTTATCATCCTTCCACACTGGCCAGCTACACCGCAGAAAATATGCCACCCTGCTCTGCAAATCACAGCTGGGGAATTATTTGCTTGGCAATGAAATACAAGAGCATCTCTAGCAGAGCTGGTCAGACATCTGAGAAACTGATTAATCAAATCAATTATTTGATGAGAAACAACCCAATCCCTTGGCAGCCACATTCAACAGGTAACGTTTGTCCAGCTCTGATCTCTGGTGATATTTTTTTTTCTCTTCTTTCATTGTTGTTCTCAGGCTAGCCATGCACTGGAGGACAATGGAGTAATTGCCAATGGATTCATAGGCACTAGTCTTTCCTTCTTTTTAAACTTCATTCTCCGCTGTAATCTGAATTTGACCTTTGGCAGAGATAACATAGGAACTCGTTGCCTTTTGTATCTTTGTTACCAACCAAATATCAGGTTAGTTTCTATTTAAAAAAATACATCTCAATCTGTTGTTCCATTTTCCTCCACAAATTCGGTGTCGGTTAGGAGAACACATCACTCAGAGAGCGGAGACCTTGCCATGTTCTCTGATCAGTACCATACTATCACTCAGACAGTCAGGACTGAAATGGAATTATACTTATTGCAAATGCAAATGCAGGCCTGATTTGCCGCGGCTCTACGCCTTGCACCATCACACCCAGAGGGGCAAAGTCAGTGGAACGTCTGTGAGCATTTTATGCCCACTTTGCCCCAACTTTCTGCAGGTGAAAAGGACAACACATGGAGCAAGGCCACAGAGGGTCAGAGCCCTTGTGTTCTGTCATGTTTGGAAAATGATAAGTGAATTTTCTGTTACAGAAGTACTGGGGGCCAATTCTTGTTTACACTGGGAGCCCTTTCCACCGCAGTGGCAGTGCAGAGCAGCCTCAGGGTGGCACACGTTACTGTTACCTCTGCTTCTAAGGTTCCCTTGCACTGGTAAATGGCCCTCCCTTGTGAAACAAACAATGGCTGCCTCCGGCTTGGATACACTGGAGGGTGGAATGGACTCTTGGTGCCCACCCCCGCCCCCACACCTGCCAGGACCTAGACGCACATACCTGTCGGTTTACATTGGTATTTCCCCTTGTTGTTGAGGATACAGATCTCCCAAGCATCACAGCCATAGAGCTGGCACTGGATGGCGTTGTCCTTCTGACACTTGCATTTGTGGCTGCAGTGGGGTTTTACCCAGCTCTCCCCAGCCTGTGGGAACGCATGCAGTGTTAATGATACATGACACTGCTCTTCTCCAGGTGTGCAATACAAGGTCAGCAGCAAAGGAAGTGAACTGTAATCGACTGTTCAGGCCATTCCTTGGCTGCCTAATCAAGGCCAAGTCTCATGGAGAGCCCATGCGGGGATACCAGACTCCGTTGGCTGCGTTAGGGCCACAGAGAAATTTTGAGAGCTTTGCTTGTGCCCTGACAAACATATACAATGTTACCTTTGGATTCACTGCAACAGACTCTTGTCTTTTCTCTACCCTGCTACACTACAGTGACAACAAAGCTGAAGACCTGCTGGTCTTATTGCCTGGTGTGTGCTAATTTAGACATAAAACAGGACAGGGCCAAACATCCAGAGAGACCTCTGGCAAATCACCAGCAGCCACATTTTCAAAAGGGGCCACTGATTCTGGGGCCTCTGTTTCGGAGGACCCACCTAAGATACTCAGTGTGGGGGATGGCCTCGATGACCACTGGAGGTCCCACCCAGCCCTATGTTGCTATGATTCTATGATCCCTTGGTTCTGATTTGCCAAAGCACTGAGCACCTGCAGCTTCCACTGGCTTCATCTGGAGCTGCAGCTGCTCAGAAGCTCTGCAAATCAAATCCAAGGTGTCTCCGTTTAGTAATTGCAGATTTATTTCTATTTGACCCACCAGGGCAGCAGGCAGACGCTCCAGCAGCTATTTACAGCTGTTAAAGCCGATAATCACCTGGTACAGAAACTACTTACGCTGTAGTAGTTATCTTCATCATCCCTGCAGCCACAATCGCTCAGTAGTACACACTGGTCATCGCTAAGCACGTAACCCTCATTGCAAACACAACCTTCCGTGCATTCCGCTGGCTTTTCACAGAGGGACGATGCATAAATATTATTACATGTGGCTGGGCAGGGAGAAGCACACTCAGTGTAATAGCTGTTGGATGGACAAGGCAATGCTGTGTGAAGAGAATAAAAACAGCATTATTACAAAATGCCAGAGAACTATTCGATGTTCCAGAGCAGACATGCCTGGTGCTGACTGGAAGGACTTGGATGGCAACAGAGCACTAAAGGTTACTTCTTTATGATGCAATGGTGATGGCATAGTTATGGATTCATTTATTGTTGAAAACAGGTAAGCCCCTCAGAGGCTGTCAATTCAATTCTAGCATGAGCACGTCTGAGTTTCTGGGCATTGCTCTGAGATGTGCTTTTCAGCAGTCTAGTTCAGTATCACATCTAGTCTTGGTCACTATTCAAAAAATAAACACAAGAAAAGTGTGACGGCCAGATCCACCAGCGGCTTTGCATTGCTCCGGTGGCCCAAAACAGCCAGAATCATGGTTTAACTGACTGGCAACATTTGTATTTCTGTCTCTTGCATTGCGGGAGTGGTACAAGCTAGCCAGAGTGTGGCAGCAAATCTGGCTCTTCATATGCAACAGACCCTTAGTCCTTCCTCCGGCAACACCCCCATGGATGCCAAGAGGAGTTTGGAATGAGTCCGAGCCATGTAAGGACGGCAGCACTAGGCTCAAAGGGCTCATGCTCTTTAGTCTCCTTATCTCCCTTCTTCATTGTAGCCTTGTTACCGTGTCTACCAACGTCCTCTCGGCTGCTCAAACCAACCCACCACAGAGCTGCTTCTCAGAAGTGGGCCTAGTTGTGAATGCTGTTGATCACTTTTAACTCCCATTGACTTCAGTGGGAAATGCAAATGTTCAGGATTTGGCCCAGCTATGAACACAGGCCCATGCTGTAACAGAGTCCTAACTGCAGCTAATGACACTGTATCTTCCTGGCATCTTTGATTTGTTAATTAACCACCCAGCTAACACCGCTCGTTAATTCTCACGCCACTGTCAGCCATCGAAATGCCAGGCTGTTTACGCTGAGTCTACTTACGGCAGAATGTGCTGGTCCTCCATTTAATGATGACTCCCTGCTTCTTGCAGGTGTCCACATAGGCCTGTGTGATGGCACAGAGAGTGGACAGCATGCCGTCATATTTACACATGTCGTAGATGCAGGTCTGGATGAAGAGGTCAGGCTCAATCAGATGGTGACATGGTTTGAAGGTGTCTGACTTTAAAACATTGCACTGGTTTTCAATGCCTGGCTTCTCCTCTGCCGTGCAAGGTGGGCCCAGCTCTTCTTGTGTGTCTGGCAAGCAGCTGCAAGAAAGCACAACATGGCGTGTTTCAGTTTGGAGAGGACCGTGCAGGCTGACACCCAGGCTGGAATGTTGGCTGCTGGTGAGAGGAGCCAAATGATGGAGGCTGCAGTGTTCTCTCTAGTCACCATATGCCAGGAGCACTGCCGGCTTTCACCACCCCATCAGCGTGTCTCAGCCCTGACACAGAGGGACAACCTCCCTAAGTTGTTCAGATGCAATGCTCATGCAATCCTTGGCATTTCTGCTGGGACTGCCCGTTCAAGCTAACTGGGATGTCCATTAGGGAATAACCGATACCACTAGTTCACTTCACTTACACTATCAGACATATTAGTGACTTCAGATTGTTATTGAATGGGACTGGATTTGACCTGACAAAATGCTGGTGAGTGGTTCTGTAGCTCATTGGTAAATCCTTGAGCCACCCCTACACACATAACAGATTTCACTAACTTTCATCACAGAGGGGAAAAAAGCTTTCACCCTATGCCTCTGTGACCTTTGAGACTTAAGAACCTCTTTCCTTCTGGGGCAGTGGCCTTTGCTGGAGACCCAACAGAATGCCAGCTTCTCAAAGAAGGTGCAGAAGATACACCAGGCAGCATGGCCAGTGCATTTTCCTCTACTTGGCATGTTTTAGAGCAGGGATGTGGTTAAAATGTCTGCAAGGGAGCATGTGATCTGAATCAACACAAGCGGGGGAATGAAAAAGAGCCACGTTTACCCCGCATCACTGTCGGCTTCCACTTTCCAGCTGTTTCCAAACTGTGTGACGTTGTTAGCCTGCATGCCATTGGGCATGAGCAGCTCATCCCCACGCTGGCCATTATAGTTACCGCACATGCCACATACCTACAGCAGAAGAGAATAATGTCATAACCAAGGGGCTCTCATCCCATCCCCACTGCTGACCAAGGAAAGATATGGATAAATATTGCAAAAAATCGGTTAGTAACTTGCACAGTGCTACCCAGTTCAAGCCGTCACTGTAAAATCTTAGTGCACCAATGGAAAAATGAAATGATATTGCAACATATCTGTGGCTCCCTAAGACTTCCTGGCATTTGCCTTGGGAGGGGGCACGCACTCCCTCCAGTAGAGAGGAGGCTAACGAGCTCTTCTGGGCTGAGTCAGCACTAACCGGCCACACCTGGAAGGCTTGTGCGGCCTGGAGGGAGAAAGCTTAAAAAGAGAGAGCCTGCCGTCGACAGGAGCAGTGACCAGAGATTGCTGGCTACAGGGACAGATCATCAAAGAGGATGGCACTCGCAGACCTCGCCGCCCCTGAGACTGCATGGACCTGGCATGAAGCAGGGGTGACCCCAAAGGCGGAGCTGGAGGCAAGCCCTAACCCTGATGAAAGACACTGAGCCTGCAGAGAAGCCAGACTGCCTGAGAGATGGACCTTTTTTCACTCCCTCAGTCGCGGAGGGAGAGGGACAGGGGCCTTTTTGTTTGTTTGTTTTGTCTGGAGAATCCCTTGTGCGCCACAAAGAGGGGAAGGACTCTGTAAACCACTCAAATTGTGGGGGACTCGGGGGGTAGTCTCTGTAACTAACTGCCAGCTATGCACCCAGTTCTGTCATTTCCTGTAACTATCCCTTTGAAACACCTGTAGCTGGTTGTAAAAAGGAAAAGAGAAGAAAACAACGGGTGTGTGCAGGCAGCATTACTGCAAGCAGTAATAATAAAGCAAGAGAAGAAAATAAATTCTAATCAAACCGCAAAGCAGAAGAGGAAAATCCAAGCTTTGAAGTGATGCCTTTTATTTTCTTAACACACTGAATCTCACCTTGGAGAAGTAAGATTCTGGGAGGCTGATTTCCAAGTGCTGATTTCCATCGTATTTCACTAGCAGTCCAAAGTCAGCTTCCACCACCATGTAAATGCCCACATTTCCTATGGACACGCCTCGTAATCGGTTCTTTACCGGAGTGTGGACTCTCTCCTTATTGAGCTGGTGACAACAGACCATTTGTCAGCATAGAACATAGTCACCTAGTAACATTTTTTCTGCTCATAGTTTATTTTCTCCAGGGGATCTGGACCCTAGTGGATAATCAAAGGAGTTGAGAACAGTTCAATGCCTTTGATACTCTCCATGCTACGAGCTCCCTCCCTAGTGAGACACTGTGGCCCAGGAGAAGGTGTCTGGGACTGGGACACTTGAGACCTGCGTTCTAGTCTGAGCACTGGCCTGCTGGATGAGCTTACGCAAGCCATTTGACCGCTCGGTGCCTCAGTTTCCCCTTCTGTAAACTGGAGAGAATGATACCGACCTCCTTGGTAAAGCGCTTTGAGATCTGCTCTTGACAAGAGCTAGGAATGGTTATTATTTACATGAACAATTAGATCCACACAACCCACTGACCTGAGCCCAGAGGAAGTTAGTCTCTCTTCATTAATTATGATCAGTTACAGTCACAGTGAAAGAATCTGGGGGTTGTTGTATCTGTGTCTAGGTGCGCAGGGTAACTTGCCTGATGATAGTGGTTGTTTCCATCCACACAACCGCAGCTGCTCTCCGGCACACAGGTGTCTCCACTCAGAACGTAGCCTTCGTTACAGAAACAGCCTTCCACTGGTAAGGAGCTGCAAGGGCTAAACGCAGAGGGAGTCACGCAGGTGGAAGGACACCTGCTCCCACAGCTCTTGTACTGGCTTCCTCCCGGACAGGAGATTGCTGCAAGTGAGAAGAAAAACCCACATCACTGAAAGGAAAAGATCCCAAAGCAATTCTCTTGAAACTTCCCCTCTTTGTTCCAGGACAGCAAAGGGTGGTTAGAAAGCTCTGCATATGGTGACTGCTCTGTGCTGAGGTTTTTCTCCAGGGACAGAGTGGAAACCCTTTGTGCAGGGAATGACAGACAGACAGACAGACTAATGATGCCTGGTTGGGGACCGGTTGTATCCAGGGATTGGAAATAGGCAACAGGATACAAGTCCAGCCTTTCACCTATTGACGTGGATGTCGGCTGAAACGCGCCTCCGGTGGCTTGTCTCTCGCAGCGCAGAGCTGGCTGGTGGCCCGTGGAAAGCAGCCGAGATGGGTCATCGGTGTCCAGTGGCTTTCCACGCTCTGACTCTGGAGAGTCCTGTCCTTCTGCTGGTTGGCCGTTCACTCCCTCCCAGTCTCCACACTTCCCTTGCCCTCTGCACACCTGGCCTTCCCCTCTGCCCCTACCTCCTCCCTTCACTGTCCCCTCTCCCGTCCTCCTCCCTTTGCAGCTAATCCCCTCCCGACAAACCAAACCAACCAACCCAATCCCGGCAGGCCCAGGTCATTTACAATCCAGACCCCTGCTCACTCTGCTTGTGTCTTACTCCCTCCCGCAGCCTGCGCCTGTCTTGCCTAGACAGAGTGGAATGGGGCTTCGGAACAGGGGCTGTCCTCTGTTGCTTAGACAGTACCCAGAGCAATGGGCCCCCATCTCAGCTGGGGTCCATAGGTGCTGCTCTAATATACAGAAGAAATCATACGAACAATTTAGGGATAAGGAGGAGACTTTAGTGGGGGCACAATGCCCCAAATCTTCCTACTGCAGAGTTTTTTGCACCTTCCTCTGAAGCAGCTGGTGATGGGGGCCATCAGAGGCAGGATCCTGAGTTTGCTGGCACATGGCTCGGTTCCGAGAAGGCCCTTCCAATGGGGACCGCTTATTGCCTCAAGTGGACCTCTCCAGAACAGAGCTCATGCAGCCGGTGCACGCAAGGTGGGGGAAGGTCGCCCTGCTGCTTCCTGGGCAGCAGCTGTTCTAAGGGCTAATGGAGCAATGGTGGCCCTGATTCTCCTCTGGCTGACTCCAGCTTTACACTGGAGTACCTCCATGGACTTCAGTGGCTACTGCTGATTCGCACCAATGGAAGTGAGCAAAGACACAGACCCTCTTCCTCTAAAACTGCCAGGCTAGTACCTTTCACAAGGACCTAACATTCCTTCCTAACAATTACAAATAGAAGGGACTGTGGGGAGTTTCACTCGAGTCGCGGCTACTGTTTCTTCCACGGCAGCTCCCCAGACTGGAGACGCTCTTTGGATAAACAGAGCATTTCAACCTCTCAGGCGCTCTTATTTTACCAGCACTAAATTCAGACAAATTAATACTTAGATGCTTTTTGAGGCTAGATCAGATTCAGTCTGAATATTATACCTAACCTGGCAGGATCCAGTGTAGAACTGGACCAGACTCAGGGCAAGAGAACGGAGAGACCACCCTCAAAGCATGACAGAAGAGGAAAGTGCATGCCGTCAGGGAATACAGGAAGCTCTAATTTGAAGAGCTTCTTGCATGATGAAAGTTGAATTCCAGAACTTAATAGAGATCAATTGCAACACTCACGGCACAAAGTATTATTTCTCCATTCTCTGCAGATCCCAGCATTTGTGCACGACTCTGCATAAGCCTGCAGCCCGTTGCATAAGGACACTGTCGGCTCCTTAGTGTGACACATGTCGTAAACACAGTTTTCCAAGAAAATCTCTGGAGCTACTTTGGCGTGACAGTCCTTGAAGATACCTATGTTAAGTCAGGAAAGAAACAGAATCACTGAAGGGAAGATGGAAGAAGCCGAGCGGTGCCACTAACCATCCCCTGTCATGGCAAGGAGTCAGTGCTCCCTGGCCAGTGTAGGCTGACCAGCTCGCTAGACTCAGCCAGACCAAACCTGGAGCTGAATACACCCAAACACTGGTGAGATTTGGCTTAGGCCTGTCTCTACCATTTGCAGGGTAAGTACAACGTCACTCAAAGCGGACACCCTTGTTCTTGATAGAGAGCTAGCAACGCCCTGGTAGTTACTGTTTCCGGAGGAGGGAAGGCCTAAAGCACTTCAGATACCCCTGTAAGAAAGCGGGCAATGGGGACCACCACACTATGTCTCTGCTGCAGCAGAGTGCAAGTTAATGGGAGCTCTGTGCGGGCAGGAGCGGCAGAACGAGGCCCTTGAAGTGCAATGCCCAAATAATCGTCACATCCTGGTGCCATCTCAGTGCACGATCCAGTCCGAGCAGGTAACTCAGGGCAACTCCTGGGGCTTCTAGTTCAGCTTTTCGCACTGGGGGCCATACACATGTCCCTGGGGACTCGGGGCCGTGGTCCCAGGGAGCGAGGTCGGGACGGAGGCAAGGGCAGGCTGTCATTGGGAGTGATTTCAATCAGCTCGCCCAGGACTCAGCCACGGGCATCGTACCTGTCGGGTCGGTGATCATGCCACAAGCTGTGTCCTCCCTCGCTTCGCTCTCCAGCTGGGGGTCACAGACCAGCACTTGGTCAGGGGAGCATCTGGCAAGAGAGAGAAAAGTTTCTGATGAATGTTTCTTTATCTCCCCGGGCCAGATCTGGACAGGACGATGCCACGTCTGCCCAGCAGGGACGACTCGATTCCAGCCACAGAGCGGAATCCAGGCTCCCTGAAAGGCTGCGTTCTGCCCCCACCTCCCCCACCACAGGAGGGGGCTCCCATTCCCGCACTGGGCACCTTGGGGTGCTCCACGACTCAGACGGAGTTGAATGAGGGGTGGAACACGCTGCTGCGGGAACCAGTGGATCGGTCCGGCTCCTGACTGGGACAGCAGGTGACCTCCCACCCACCAGCAGGTCTTCCTGGACTGGGGGACAGCAGACCTGCGAAGGCAGATGGTAGCAGGCCAGCCACTCACCGCCTGCTTATGCTCAGCTGGGGAGGGGGCTCTTGGGTGTACGGGAGAGGATGGTTGTGCTCAGCCCCAGGAGGAGCCGAGGTGGTGGA